TCAGTTCCATAGATCAAGGTTTCTCTCAAAAGCATAACACTCCAACCTTTTCCCTAAGAAAGCATGAAGTTTTCTTCAAATTGCATTACTTAACATTGACTTTTTTTGCTTAAAACTTCTTACTTGAAAAAATGTTCATGTTTATATAGTAATTCCCTCCAACTTATAATTCTGTACTGTCTACAATAAAAATCCAAACCAACAACCCCTCCCCCAAACTTTCACAGGTTCTCCAAGCCCTCAGTCCACAGTAACATTAAAATTTTCACTGTTACAGATTAAGGTCACAGACAAAATACACGTTCTGTTTCCTGAAGGAAATCTACAGGAATTATTTCTCTCTCCGTGTTACTTGCATGTCTGTGAAATACAAATACAAAAACTTTAACACAGATAATGAAGATGATACAGTCCCACAAAGTGACAGGAAATATCTAGATACTGAACACTGGTATGGGTAGGGACTGCACAGATATCAGCTTAAACCAGCACAGCAAGACATAGCTGCTCTTTGCCAAAATTTGTTTGACTGCAGTTTTAATAAAGTATGAGGATCAGGATAAACTGACGTGAAGATTATTCAACATCAGGAATAGCCTCTACAGCCTTCATAAACCTGGACAGACAGTGCCAAGACACAGTGCATGAGACACGCCTCACGTTTCTGAAGTGCCCACATCAGAGAGTGCTTGGTTAAGTCAATCTTCAACAATTTTTCTTTTTTTTTTTTTTTAAACCTGCCAAGAGATGATACAGAAAGAGTCTGCAGCTTGAACTATCCATAACTTTCCTATTTCAGGCTCTCAAACGCAGAGTTGCCAGACAGCATGTGTGTGGACGGTGTTATTTGACCCACAGATCCTGCATGGCTACACACACCCGAGCGGTTCCAAGAAAAGCACTCAGGAGCCCATAGAGGTGAAAACTGAAGCCCACACTAATCAGATGGAAGCAGAAGACTCCTGGTTCTGTCTAACTAGCTCTACTCGTTAGGGAAGGCACAGTGGTTAGACCAGCTGATGGTGAAGCAAAATCTAAACAAACTAGAAAGTCTGGAAAGTGGATAGTCAAGTGACTTAAGTGGGGAACAACAGGGCAGGGGGGGGAATAAAAAAAAAAGAGTTAATTAAAGAACCCTGGGGCCCAAACATTTATTTGAGAGGTACTTAAATTAAGATATAAAAGTATAGATGACAGATGACCATACTCCTGACATTCATGATGAATCCATCCAGTGAATGCCATTCTGAAAACAAGCCTTTCTCACTATACATTTCCCAGCCTGTGAGAAGGGGATTTGGGTTGATCCTAATCCCCAGAAAGCAAGTCAAGCTGTTCTTTCAAAGGGCTGCTTCAAGAAGCTGTTTCTGAGAAGTGTAAGTCTCTTCCTGCTACTTACAGTGAAGATCTGAAACTCATGGTGAAGAAAAGTTCGTAGCCAAGTCTGAGATTTTCAGGGCAAGCCAATAAAGTTGGAGCACACATGTACGGTAGCGATGGCTGAAGCTGTGAGAAATAGAGGTCTCTGCAAAAGTTTTGTGGCTTTGCTCCCATAAGGATCAAAACTGAAACAGAAGAGCTGAACCAAGCACAAATGTTCTGCTGATGGAAACTCAGCAACCATCTGCTGATGGAAACTCAACTGTATACCGACACCGCTAGTTTGCCTACAAAGAAAGATGGTCCTTAGGAATTAAGACTGTTTTCAGTTAATAGCCTATCCATCAAGCCCAGGATTTCAGAAGATCTTCAAGGACGCAATACATAAAGGAAAACTGGATCCTACATGAAAAATAATTCTCTTTCACTTTAAAGAATCACTCCCCTTTTGAATTCTACCTACTGTGTTTTGCTTAAAGACCTCTTTTTACAAGAGCTTTTTTATATCTGTATTAATATCCTCTCCAGAAGCAAGTAATGGAAAGATGCAACCACTTCCTCTCAATGCCATAACTGATAGCCATTTTTCTTGTTTCCTTCTAGACACAAAACCAGAATATGTTTTTTAAAAATCAAAGTACATATTTATGTTGGAAAATGCTGCATAGATGAGGTGATTTATTATATATTTAGACTGGTGCATTTTTTCATCAACATTCTTGTGTTTACATAAGGCCTCCCACAGACAGTTGGTCTCACTGGATTTTGAGAAAAGGAAACAACACAAAATGAAGAATATAAACAACCACCATTGTCTCTCTTTATGGACCTTTACATGTGTTGGACAGGATCAGACTGTTTCCTGTGTGCTACTTTCTGGAGCTGCTGTCTTCACATGCATACTGGAGAAGCCTAAAAATAATCTGAAAGATATTTAATACAGGCATTATCAAGTTTTGTTTTTTTAATGCCTGAACACGAAGCATACATTTTTGACTACGCTCACACTTCACGATTTCTAGAGCAAATATGTTCACTGCATCAGTCATTCACTGTAGAGACTGTCCACAGAGCAATGGTGACTCAGTAATGAAGGTCTAAGTCTACCTGCTTGCTTCTGGTGTCATTTCAACAACACCACATCTAAGCAGTACAAATTAACTTCATCAGTCCTCTTTGTTTGTTCAGATTAATTCTGCTGCTGCTTATGGTCATCTCCCAGGCTGGAGCTAACAGATCTGCTATGGCAACTTTAACTAGAAACAACAGGATATTTGATACTAGCAAAATACCCATTGAAGTGCAGCAATATGACAGCTCAGCTAAAAAGATGGGTGGGGGAAAAAAAGGGCACATAACTGAAAGATTGCAGTGCCTTATGGGTCCTCCATGGTATGAAGCAACATCTGGGGGAAAAAAAACAACTTGCATTTAATTGATGACGCAGGTGATTTAGTAAATGAATTTGGGTTAAATTCCCTTAATCTTCATGTTCTGTAAACTGAAAAAAAGCCTGATAAAAATTTCACAATTCCCATACTGAAGAGAAATAGCTACTTATGTAATCCAGTCACAGAGTATCAGGTAGCCAAATGAACTGTATTGCTTTACTACCTTACAGTTACTTGTATAGGTTCTGTGCTAGGCATTGTGAATCCAAGCTATCAGCTTTCTTATTGCAGTGAAAAAAGCAAGGCTTTTAAGACAAAAATAGTACCCTAATGATTTTGCTGAAGGTTTAAATTCATACAAGATATTTAAAAGATAATAAAAATACATATATATTTATTTTTGCTCTACTAGACAGACCTTCTCAATTCAACCAAAAAAATTCAAGTCATTGCAAATGAACACATATTTATCTTCAGTGCTACGCACTACAGTGAATCATTTTCATACTTTAAGAATCTGAAAAAACCTGAAACAAAAAGAACAAATAATCTTGTCCTTGCTTGCTTCCTTTTAATATAAATATTTTGGATATTCTTCCCAAGTGAAATACTTTCTTCCCCTTTTTACCTTAGAAAGAGTGCCTTTTCCCCTGTGTTTGTCATGGAAGATTACACAGGTGATGAGGGCGATTGGCTTCTGCAGGGTTAGAGGGAAGCTTTCCTTAAAAGTTTTCACAAACATTTGAATTCAAAACCTGTTAGCAATAAAGAAATAAAATCCCTCTTTCACTTTTAAATGCTTTTACCATTATTCTTAAAGCAAACAAAAACTCTAATCTGTTCAAAACCTTGTTTAAAAATACACAGTGCTAAGTAGGCATATTTTTGAGTATCAAAGTGCAACAGATGCAAAATGTGAAATCTTTTAAAATGCATCTTCCCCCTTTTCATAACATGCCACCTTTTTCCTTGAAAGGTGATATTTCACACATCAGCAGTTTCAGACCTAAAAAAAGGCTCCTGACTAGTGTTGCACTTTTAAGAATTCAATATTCTTTAAAAAAAAGATAAAATAAATTGATAGTTTGACAAAGTATAAAGCAGTCCAGTACTGAAAACAGAAGAGGAAAACATCCCTAAAAAGATTTTGAATTGAAGGTCACACTCTATTCACTGTGTATTGTGATCTACTATCTCTCAAGAATGAACAACTTTCAAGACTGATAGGTACTAAGATTGAACTCTGCTTCTTCTTGCATATGAGATGCCTACATTTATGCCCACTACATTTCTAGGCCGTCTAAACTTAATTACTCCTTCCCTCCATGTTCTTTTATTAGTAGATATTCGAATAAACCCCACTTGAAAGCCTGTAATGAAAAGTTGAGTGCCGCTCCAATAAAAACATACAAACAAATATTTACATATTTTACTGTTCTAACACAAAACGTTCTCTATAAGGAGTAGGAATCAAAATAGTGCCAGGTAACAGGATTACCTAAGGACGCGTTTAATTTCTTTTTCCACAAAATAATTACGTTTCTTCATTAAAACCAGACAGTATTTCAGTTCTAGAAAAAAAAAAAAAGCCCTATAGATCTTTTCTTTTACTTCCAATAGAAATTTAATTAGGACAGACAAAATATTTGTGAGATATTTTGTTGCAACAATAGCAACCCATTTCAAGTAAGAAATTAATATAAGGTTTTATTTCTGGTCACTTACATGACTAAAATACCAATTTAAAAAAAAAAAGGATTAATTCTTAAGCTTCACAAATTCCACCTTTTAAAACCTCTATTTCTTGACTTAAATCAATTTCTAGAAATTTTGCTCAGAGGGTGTAGTATATTTCTACTGATAATACTTTTTTTTCCCCCCTCATTTTTTTTTTTCTAAGAATAGAAAGAAAGTGCCATTATTGTTTTGCTTCAGAAGCCAGTCCCTCCTCTCAGAATAGATTTGGCGTGGCCACACACAAAAAAAGTGTTCAGGTGCAGTATCACACAGATCAGTAAAGAATATACAAAAAAAACATAGTGTATAATACTGTGACAGTTTTTCAATATATTCACATACAGTAATCTTTGAATACCTGTAACTAAACTGGCCATAAATCCTGAAGAACCTTGTCTATAAAATTGAGTAACCCATCAATATACTGTATCTCTTCTAAAAATATCCGTATTTTACACTAATATACAAGGTATCTGCTTGCAAACACAGAAGTAGCCATAAATAAAACTTTATTCTTTCATTTCATTTACAAGCTACCAGGTACCATGTATTTACACAGCACTGGACACTTAGAATAGTTGCAGTCACAAAATGATCCAGACAGCTGTTGATAAAGTAAAGGATCTTAAGATAAAAGCAAAGTAATACTGTAACAGATAAGTGGCAAAAAAGCAGTTTTGCCATAATGATCAGACTTGCATGTTGCATCAATTCTGGTTGAAACGACTGAGCGCCATGCGATTCTCAGCTTTAATTGTTTGCAGTCTGGCTAAAGTTTGTACAGTCATTTCTCTCTTGCAGTTATTAAAATAAAAAAGTTAAAAACTATAGCAGCAACAAGCAAACCCTGTGACAGGAAGGCAAGGTTTAAGAACTAAAAAAGTTTATACAATGTGCTTAGGAAGGTCGCAGAATTTATCTTCCATCGGCTGGAGTTCGACTGAGTGACAACATGATTCGGGCATATCTTTCACACAGTTCGTGTGTGGAGTAGGAGGGTAACTTTGGCGGGTCATTGAAACCTTTAATCTCTGTAGAACAATCTAGCAGTTTTGGCAGAAAATCTGTCAGCTTTTCTTGCAAGTTGGCTGCAAATAAAACAAGAGAAAAAACAAACCATAAGCATTTATGTCTGCATGTGGAATTCTCCTTTTTCTGACCAACATTGACTCTTTCTTTTATTGGTGGGTGGGACGAGGTGGAGTTTCACTTGGAATAATCCACTTTCTTCAGGTCTGTCAGCAATAATTAAGACATACCAATTCCTAGTAAGATGTTAATATAAATGCCCCTTCAGATGGTCTAACACCACGAATGTTTTTCCATTCAAAAAGCATGTTTGCTTTATGGCGTAATACCCTAGCGCAATATATGGAAAAACTGTTTATTTAAATGTGTACAGGATTATTCCAAAGTCAGGGTAGCTAAAAATACATTATCAAGGCACAAAAGATATAGGCTTAATTCAAGACATTGAAAACATCCCTTCTATCAAAAAAAAAAAAAAAAGAGCAAGCAATGGCCTTTTACCATAATGAATAAATGACTTACGTTCCATTTCTTGTCCAAGATAGGAACACCAACGGTTTCTCATATCTTCAACAGCAACAATATCTTTTTCTTCCATTTCATCCACCAGTAGTAATGGCAAACACGGGACAATAAGCTCATTCATAATGATCAGGCCATTATTTACTTCCTGATCATCTCCTGATTCAAACAGTGCTGCAGCATGTTCATTTAGTTTCTTCATAAACCACCACAAAAAAGGAAAGCCTTTAAGTATACAGCATTTCACATTCTACTATGCATCAGTTTCTGCTTGTTTTAAAGCACAGTCTTCTACAAAGCTACCCGGTAATTTGTATTAACCACAGTTGCACCTTAATGTTTACAGCAATGATGCATATACTCTATTAAACCACTTGATCTCGTGCTATTCCTCAAAGCCACTGCAAACTCAAGCTTTGCAGCTGTTCTTTTTTTAAAGACTGAGGTCCTATCACCTGCTTTTGCTTTCTTACTATTGCTAGAAGTGACATAATCAAGGAAAAAAAAACCACCACCTTGTTTCCTGATGATTCCTTTTCCAATATTTGTCTCCCTGTCAAACTGTGGCAACTGGGTAAGTCTGCTCACCGACAGTCAACTGCTGTTCCTACCCAGCCCAGGCATGACAGCAGTGAGCACACTATTTACAATCATAAAGACGATTTATTAAGAAAATGAGAATAATGTTTTCCTTCTTACTTTTGCTTTTTTTCTTTACACAAGTCTAACTATTAACTTGTTAATGAAAGAGTTCTGTTGGTTTTGGTTTTGTTTTACACGATGGCAACACTTTTCTACTAATAAATTTTGTTAAAGCTATGCAGCAAATTCAACTTTTTGAAACATAGTTCACCCTTCACTTACTAGCAAACATTCTCGTCTGTAGTGAGATATCAGCTCTTCATCATGCCCTCTGTACGGGCCTTTGGACAAGAGTTCTTTGTTATTCTGGTAAGCATAGATAAGGTAGAGCAAGGCTTCCATATAGCTGAAGTAAAGTAAAGAAACAAAAACATTAGATGCAACATCCAGCTACCACCTGTTTCAAGCTAACTACTGTGCTCTTCGCAAGATAGGTAACTTCACTTGCTTGTTTGACTGTAAGTCCACCCCTCCCCACCAATCCCTTCATAATGGTTTTTCTACCACACATTTTCATCTTTTATGCACATTAGAACAATTTATTTTATTATCAGGTGAGATCACTTGCACATGAAGTCTGATCCAAAGCTCACTAAAATCAATGCATATCATTTCACTCATTTCAAAAAATAGCTTTGGATCAGCCTTGAATATACATGAAAATTTAATTTTTCCTACGTGCATTTATGTCACATTAAGTTTGATCTTCTGTTGCCATATATCTCTTGATAGCATTCTACACCTTAGCAATTAAGATTTAAAGCTGTCACCTTATTTCTTAAGAAATAGACTGTGAATTTTTAGCCTCACTAACTATAAGTTATTCCAAACTATTTGAAGTCTAAAGCGATGGAAGAAGCCACAACAGCATTTGAAAAGCAGAAGTGCTGACAGATTGTTGATATGCAGAAAATAAATACAAGCCTAATTGGTAAAGGACAAGTAACAGAGGACCTAAGAATGTAACAGTTAATAATCAACAGATTTCCCTTCACACACAGATTAACAATTTCCTTTTACACTGCTGCATACTATTTCCAGCGAACAACTTAAATTGTTAATTCTCTGACTTACAGAAACCCAGTTATGACAGAGTGCCACTGAAAGCAGTTCAGGCAGCTACCCTAAAAACAAGCAGTTAGAAATCTTATTTTTATTCGAACTAAAAAAAAATCTAGGAAGTGACATTTCCTAATGGAGTGTTAGAGGAACAGCACATTGTTCACTCACTCACTCCTAGTGAGATCAGGTCATGTTTAAGGTTTAAACTACCAAAACCAAACAACCAAACTACTAAAAATGGCTAAAAATTACGTGTGAGCACACAGAGGACATACCTGAAAAATACTTATCAGAATTTTCCAAACTCAAGACTCACAGTAATGCCTCCCAATGAGACAACATAAAAAGAAGTAGAAAAGCTACTTGAAATAGCAATGATTCCTAAAAGCTTTACCTTCTAATATCCTTGTTTAGAAGAACAAGATGAAGCCCAACACCATAATTTCAGAATCTACCGTTGTTTCTTCCACCATGACATCTGCTCATAGACTCTTGCAATTCTAAATATTTAGTGCTTAAGTAATTAATACATTACAAGTACAGTCACTGTTCTCCACCTTTTTGTCCTCAAAATACAAAGCTATGATTTCATTAAAAGAAGTCCTATGACAGTCTCAAGTCCATTTCTCCTGCCCATGAAAACTCTTCACACCCCTGGTCACCAACATAACTGACCAGACAGCAGAAAACTTAATGCACGAGGAAAGAGAGAAGATATCAGCAAGGAACTGGAATCACTGGATAGAAAGCCAGAGAAGCAGGACATTCTCTACCTTTCCATTCTTAGTTCAGTTATTTGCGAAACTGTAGATTGAATAAACTCAGTTGATCCAAATGAAGAACTTGCTGCTGGTAGCAGCCTTATTCCCAGTCCCTCTTCCTGCTCCTTCCCCCAGGTGTGTGACCTTTTCCTGAAACCACCACAGTTCCAACTAACAGCAAGGTAAGCTATTTTAAATCACCATTATTGTACATCCAGCTCAGAGTCCTTATATATCTTGAGAGTCTGAGGAACACAACTACAGTGTAAATTAGCAGATTCTGCCTTTTCACACCTGAAGCACATACGACCTTCAGCCTATGAAGCCTAAGCCTAAAATCACTGAAGCCACACAGAATTATGGAGCTCACTGGGTCTAGGCTTTGGGAAAGACGCAGGCAGTACAGGCTGGCTAAATTTTAGCACTGCTTTGAAAAAGGCTCTTCAGTCAAAACTGAAGAACTATATTTGCTTTCCAAGCAACTTAAAAGGCAACTGTTAAGGTCTACAGTTAGTTCACTTTTCAGTTACTACCACAAGAGTGAGCTGCAGGTAAAACTCCTGCCAAGATTCATTAGCTGGCTGCATTCATCTCGCCTATAGCAGGTTCCTACTTTATAGCGCAGTCAGAGAAGATATGCCTGAAAGACCATTTAATTCTCCACCTGCAGTAAAAAGAGGGCCTTGTCAAGCACCATAAGGAATGACAAATGAACACTGAAAGCAGGCATGAAAAAGATTAACAAAACTACTTCTTTAACGTTGATTTTGTGTTTGTTCAACACAGTACAATTACTTAAGGAAATCAGAGACCACCTGGGTATAGGCTGATTTTTGGCTCCATCTAGAGATAGAGTGCTGCTAGGTATCAACTAGTGTTATTAAAAATAAGAAAAGTTAGTTGACTGAGTGAGATGGGTTTCTGGAAAAAAAAGCCTCAAAGCAGTCCTGCTAATGAGGGTCGTATTTCAATTATGAAAGTCTATGTTTTCATAAATATTTTTAAAGTTACATTTTTATTATTTCAGTGTTAACAGAGCATTCTGAAGATTTCATCAATTTAGTCTCGTTTTCAGGATAAGGATGGTAGTACTGCCCTCCAGAGTGTACAAGATGTAAACCTCTGTGAATATTTGAGTCCTTTGGGAATCTGTAGCTGAAACACGGGTGCATAATTGCCATAGATGCCTTCAGAGCCAGTCAATGGATACCTGGATCCTCAACCATTCTCTAAGCTTGCTTAACTCTAGTCTTACTGTCTTTGTATTAAATACCTCTTGAAGAATTTATGAAATTGCATTTCTTGCCAACAGGAATAAATGCTACACTTCTTTGGATGTTAGATGATTCTGATAATACTGTATTTTTTATTTCTGACCAATACCAGAGTCTAAGACTGGTCATTATAGGCTTGTTTTCTAAATTATGAAGATATTTGGTAACAAATGCCTCACCCTAATTCTGGAGATTAATGTAAAAAATGGAAAACTATACCAAAAACGCTGTTCAGCACAGAAGAGAAACTTGTGCTCCCCTCCCTCCCCCTGGCATAATCAGAATATATTATGGTAAGAAGCAGATTAGTGAAAACACTGGTATTTTCCAGTTGAAGGTTCCATCCTGGAGTCCCAGTGCCAAGGAACTTGAAGATCTTCCATTGCTGCCTGCATGCTTAGAGTGTGCATGAAGCCTGGGGGTAACAAGAAGGGTTCCTATACACCACACCGACGCCTACGACATTTTTGCCTCCTTAAGGGATCAAGCAATACTGGAGTGTTTATTTTTCACATAAGCCAGGCAATCTTCTGACTCACCTTTGCACATAAATTGTTTGAGCCTGACAAAGTAGCATATTGCAATTTAGATTATTAATGAATGTACTATTTATTACATGCTAGCAACCAGAAGACAAACCAAGACTATGGGCTCATTGTGTTAGCCACTATACAAAGCCATAGCTTATCACAAAGACAAGGCATTTCTTTTCCAATGTATTATCCTATTTTGTTTGGGACCTTTCTTCCTTGGGGGCATATAAGACAGGAAAGAGAAGTATGAAGCAATTTACTACACAATGAACAAAAAAGAAATTAAGTTTGATTCCTGCTATAATTCCCCTACCTACTGTGTTATACATGAAAAAAAAAAATTGGTGATTGACTACAGAATTGTTTTCACAATCAAAAATCTGTATCATGTGATAGCTCAATTTTCACACCACAGATGTCAGCCACTAGATAATTTGCAGCTAATCATTTCATTCCTTTGGCTGGGCATGGGAGGAAGACGTACTTTTGAACAATTTTGTTTCAAAGACTCTTCTGCAGAATGCTTTGAGGCATTTATACTGTAATCACCATCCTTGTTGTATGTAATACATCAGACAATAAGTTTTAACTATAGTGCATTAAGTACATAAATGTCAGCAATTTTATATAGCCACGGTTCCTGACTTGGTTCGAAAAGAGAAGGTAATGAATCACCATTGCCTCATGCAGCTAAGAAGAATCAGCTACAAGTATGACAGTTAAGCATAATAGTTTTCCTCAAATATGTTCTTTCTTCCTGACCTTTAAAGCCCGTTGCAGGTGGAATTTTGGCTCAGACAAAAACAGAAGGCAAAACTTTCCTTCTGTGGGAAGACCCAATAAAAAGATAGGATGGGGACTTGACTAATTGTGATTGCTGATGAAAGCAGATGTATGTGCACATGTGGTGTCAGAGAGGAAAGATTTTTATGTCTGAGAGATACCCACAGCACTTAAGAGTAGGAGAGGAGAAGAAATACAGGTGCACGTGGAGGGTGCTCTGAAAAGAGTCCATGGCTTGGTAAGAGATCGGAAATGGGGATTAAGAATAGGAAGTTGCAGGAAACTTTGAGGTAGCTGCAAGACTGAAGACATTAATGGACCGAATAAATGCTTAACTAAAATGAAGAACACATTAAACAATTCTTAATTTTAAAAAAACAGCTTTACTTATCAATATTGTATTTTGCCTTCAAATTGCTCTACTACATTTGAGTTCTTTACTACCACTTACCTCTTTTTTTGGAAAAACTCCAATCCTACCATGAGAAACATGGTTGTTTCCCTGAAATTTCTATAGTCTTGATGCCATCTCTGCATATAAGAAAGGGTATATAGAATTTCATCCACAAACATGAAATACAATTTTTTATTTTCATTTTTTTTACCACACACTTTACTTAGTGCTGAATACTGGCAGTAAGCACTAAAGACCCCTAGAAAGCTTTCACATGTGAAAAGTCCGCCTGAATCCCCCCTCCCTCGATAAAAAAGAAAATTCTTATATATCTAAAATTTTTCTAGATGAGATTATTTTTACAGAATATATTACCACTTGAAAGTAACACAAAGTATCTTTGGAGAACCACAGCCAGAATTATATGAGATCCCCTTTTCCTTCTCAAAAAGAGTTAAGAAGCTAATAGGCTTTTTTGCCTCCCTACATTACACTCAGTTATTTACTCAGAAAGTGTTAGAAAGCTTTTTTATACACTAAATATTAAGCTTAACTTTCAATATAACAATGACATAAAAAAAGCCTGAACACTTTATGTGGGAAGTGACAAAAAACCAAATGCAATTCAGACTGTCGAGACGTTTGTATTGGAGCAAAACATTTATCTTACTGCATGACCATTTATAGAAAGCAACTACTGGTACACTTTACAGGTAAATGCTCTAAGTGAGAAAGGTGCTTTCACTGCAGTAGGTTAGTAGCCAACTTTTAATGGCTCATTAAAGATAAAACAGGGGACAGCATACCATAATACATAGCCAGTAGCAGATTCAACACAAAGAGCATGAGAAAGGGTCCACAAAATGCCAACTCACTCTACAGGACAAATACTGATACAATCTTTGGAGAAACAACCAGCTACCACCTGCCTCAACAGCTAAAAAAGTGGCACATATCTGCAGGGGAACAGAAGACACCCCACTCCCTCACTCTTAAAGCTAAGTCCAGAATTGTTTATTTTACCTGTGCAACGCCATTCAGAAAATGGTAAAATATTGAGCCTTACACAGCCTAAAAAATGCAACAGAAATCCCACTATGAGCGTCCTTTCCCCTCACAGGCTAGGGAGGGCACACTGTAATGCAACAGCATCTACTGTAGGTCCTGAACCCGGTAATGAGAAATGACAACTAAATATTTTTTATTTGTTTTGTTGAGGGAAAGATTACTTCCATAGTCCTCCTGAACAAGCTGCCTGGACCTTACTGCACAACAATGAGGTTTAAGTGGTGCACTAGAATCTGCCTAGGACATAAATATCCACTGTTAAGAGGCCTTAATGAACAGTATTACACAGAGTTGAAACTGATGCTGTAAAACCAGGTACAGGCTTAGCTTTAAATATGAGATGAATTATTTTGGCAAATACTAGTCACGATTATTTAAAGCCTGAGATTCGCTCTTTTCTTCTTTCCAAGTTTTTCTAAATAGCACAGAAGGAAAAATTAAATGCATAAACTGGTTATATATGGTCTCAGCAAACAAAAGAATCTGGTGTTCCTAAGAAAACGGGAATGGCTGCAGAGACAGCTGGGGGAAAAGCACAAATGTGACTGTGCCTGTGACCCAGTTCTCAAGATGCATAAGGCTGGGCTTAGACCACTCTCACTCCTTCACTGCTAGCTGTTTCTGACTAGAGAAAGCCAGTTGGCTCATATGGTGATAAACTACAAAATACTGTTAGTGACATTGAGACACATTAAGTAGTAAGGACAGACTCAAACTTGACATTTATTTATGGCTCAAGTCATTGGAATCACAGATGTGGAAAAAAACAGCTTTAGATCAACTGATCAGAGCAGCCTTCCTACAAAAAATGGTCTTTCAATAACCAGTTTTAACTTCTCAGCATACGACAACAAGAAATTGATGAAGGTAAAATTCAGCTTACTGATAAGTATTTCACATTAGAATTTAGTTGAAAGCGTTAAAAATACTGACCTCATATTCCTCCATGTTTACTTCATCTGGCTTTATCATTTCAAGTTTAGCTTGGGCAACTTTCATTATGTTACGGCACCTTACAAAAAGCAACAAGAAATCATGACATTACTGGAAATTCGTAAAGGACATTATCTATACAAAGACAGTAACCTCAAACAGTATAAGCTACAGTCTTATGCAAAATATTATGAAAACACTGTGGAAAATGTGCTTTTTATTATGCATGGTATAATAAGCAGGAGAGGTCATACTTTAGAAGTGCACACAATAGGGGCCTGTGCTATTTAAGAATTAATTCTAAGTTTACTTTGCTACATTGCCACATTGCTCAGCCTTTATTTTTAATTTAAAGTTCAGATGGCTTGAAACTCCCCGATACCTGCTTTGCAAAAGCGACATTAGAGGATTATTCACTATGCAGAAATCAGACTAATGTTCTTTACCTTTCAATTTATTGCTTTAAATAAGTAAATATATGGAATTTCGAATGGAAAAGAGACATTGTCTTGCATTCAAGTTATCCAGCTAGCTTGCAAGGCTTTGCTGGCTTTGAGGGCAGTGAAGAATGCAAACTACTCAGCCTTACAGAGTGTTTTGAAAGAAGGTACAGAGATCTATGTGCAAAACTATGAGCAACATTGGGTATTTCCCCTTGTTTCATAATGATAGAAACCAAACTTCTTGTTTACTGTTTTTATAGAGATTTTTATAAAGATTATATTTTTTACAAAAATATACTCTCAAGGTATGAACTAAAAGATAAAGCTAAAAAAACACACTAGTCTTCCCTCTGTTGGGTGCACTATCTGAATACAAAGGGGTGTCTCCACCCATAAGACAGCGGTCGTGAGCACAGGACATGAGACACGCAGATCTTATTACCTTTCATCAAAGCTGAGATTGTGATCTCCAAACTGTTCCAGTAATGTTCTCTCAATTATCTTCTTTGGTGCCTGATTTTGGATGAAGTAAACAATTGCGTGACGCAAACGGTAATCACATTCAGGTGGTGGATCTTCCTGGGCTAATTTTAGCAGACGTGTGTATTCCAATTTAATTGCCTAAATAATTTTAAAAATATACATTATTCTTTCTGGCTTTTAACTCTTAAACATCAGAGACACTAACAGGATAATTCATGTCCTATGGCCTCTTGTCTACAAAATAATTTTGTAACAATTCCATACTCCACCCTTCCAACAAGTCTGAACTATGTTTAAAAAAACCCACCAAAACAAACAACCATCAGACAAATGGTGAAGTTGTTCCTGTCTCTCCCCAACTAAGCCTGTCAAAATCCCAGGTAGACTTTTGCTTCAAAAGCAGTCCCAATCCTGTGCTATATCTCCCTGAGAGAAGGTCTATGCAATCCCTAGAGAGGCTTCTTTAAGCACTTACAGGCCAAAAGCAGCATAAGATGTCAAACACTTTACTTAAAGGAATCTTCTAAAAATCTTGTAAGGTAAAAAAGATACCGCTAATACATGGTTAACATGCAAATACATGAATAAAACAGATTCTACAGAAGGTTTAATGAAGATGTATGATTTTGGAAACACTAAGTGAGAACAGAAAATGCCTTTCAACAAAAATCAAATTGTAGGATTTCTAAAGAAAATAATACTTCAACACAAATAGTATTTGTCTCCTATAGGGCAGAACAGAGTCCTCGCTAAATATTTTAGATCAACTTTAGAGGTCATCAAAAGTATTTTCTTTCCAGCTTTTCCAGCACATTAGATTTTAATGAACATCATCTGTTATGTTCATTAGGTTCTATTCACTGAAACTATACAGAATGAACAAGAGCAACAACAAGAAAAATAATTAGAAAAATGGTGGCAAATGTTAATACATTCCATAATTTATCTCTCAAAATAGAGAGGTGATCAGATTGTTTGCTAACACTAAATGTCAACTTGAAACAAATGACTTAACACAGTAGCTTCACACATTAGCAATGTTTCAATACAACATATGCACGAAATAAAGCTCCAACGCAGGCAGAAAAGCACCCTGTTAATATTTCAAATTCCTTTGAAACACATGGCAGTAGCAGGTAACTTCTTGTCATTTCACTATCAGAAATCTGGGCTCCCATCCTCTACTAATACACATTTTATTTCAGGACTAAACACATGGGTGGGATACTGTTTATACAGGCTTAAACACAGAGCATGAGAAGAACTCTAAAACTTAAAAGAATGTTCTGCATCAGTATTTTTAAATACTAATCATATGCATTATCATTAAAAAGGAAGTTTGAGAGAACTGATTATAAATATCAACAGCCACAGACAGAGTTTCTATTATCTTACACCAGCAGAAGTTCTACAATTACAAAACCAACATGAACAACTATGTATTTAAACCCTGTTAATTGGGGTAGGCCAGAAACAAAAAGTAATTGCCATTAGACATTTAATTTTTCAGAAACTTACTTAGAAGTATGAAAAATGCAATGCAAAACCTGTATTTTTAGATACATATTTTGAAAAAATAAAATCGTATACTACAGACTCAGAAATCCTATGTACAATGAAAAATAACACCATTTCTTTACACAGAATACAGGAAAAAAGGGATGGTATAAAAAAGTATTACATGCTTTCTTTTTGTCACTGAGAATGTTATATAAAGATCTTAAGGCAAACATTCTGCAAGAAACTGTCTATAAATTTAAAGACGGATGATTGGCAGAGGTCACTGATGAAGAAATATCTTAATGGGTTTGTATCAGTCACGTCTCAGGTTTGAGATCTAAAAGGGGAGTGAAACCTTGGCAGTAACAATGACCCACGTCAAATGGGTTTTACCTGGGTTACACTAAAATAGAGACATGATAGGAAAACCCCACAATTTTCTGTGAACACTGATTTTATAAAACACATACACATGAAGAAACCCAGAGTATAACAGTATTTATAAATATCATAGGTTTTACAGTAAGTTTATGAAGTAACATGAGATTTCACCTGATACGTTTCAAAATATGAATTTTGTTACTAAGCAGGACCACTTTATCTGCATATGTTCACACTAATGTATTCCTCAAAAATGAAGCATGTTCCACCTCTTCTAAGTTACTGAAAAGATGATTCAGCAGAAAATGAGTAAGGAAACTTTTCTACTCTCCAACAATTTAGTGTCAGAACTCTTTCTCACTCAAAGACAAATTCTGTCCCCATGAAGTGAAAATGTTTAAGCATTCAAAATTAAAGACCTAAAAACATTTCAACTGAGTATTGTTTTGATAATGCCAAAGCACTAAATAAAATTTTTTTGGAACTGCATTTCTGTTTTAAAATTATCAAACCATCCTTCACATTAAAAAAAAATTTGACATAATTAAACTTTCTGGTAAAGAGTTTGATTCGATCAAATAGGCTTTTTTTTCAACTTAAAAAAAAAAAAACAAAACCAAAAAAAAACCCCCAAAAAAACGAAAAAAGATTGACATCTTTCCATTAAGTAATAAATTTGAAAAAAGAAACAAGAACAAAAACAACCCAGTAATGAATCCCAGACAAAACCTATTTCACTAGACAGAGGCTATGGCAGGTGTCTCTCCATTCCCTGAGAGCAGGCATGGTTAACAGAGACACCTCTGCAAACAAGTGTTGTGGTCAGAACACTCTTCTACCTGTCCATTACAAAAACCCCCACAAACAAACCAACCCATGGGATTTTAATTTCCTTACCATTTTTTGTTGCTGGGGGGGGACGGGGGACACACGGGATGGGACTGAGGGTGGGGGTGTCTGCTTGGTTCTTGTTTGTTTGGCTTTTTTCTGTTTCTTTTGTTTTTTTTACAATTTCTTCTAGTGCAACTACACCATAATAATTAACAAGTAAACAGATTGCTACTCAACAACAAGCAAGAAACTTCTTCCCCCCTTCCAAATCACATTTGAGAGGATTTTACATTATGCCAAAGTAACTCCACTTCTAATACCCTGAAAATTCAAAAGATCATGAGCTAAAAATGCTCAGAAGTTTGTGCATTTAAGAAGACTAACACATTTTTAAATCTGGTATCATTGTGAAGAGTAATAACCACAAAAAGCTTAATGTCTAATTCCCAGTAATAAAACACTGCATAAATAAATAGTATTGACATCCATGCAGTTACACAAAATAAAGTAATTTAGATTTACTAAAAATCTTTTAAGGAGTACAAAACAAGAACATCTCTTTGAAATAGACAACAAACGACTGAACATTGATGTCCCTGGGTGAAAAAAATGATGTCCCAAACAGTCCAGCAAAGACATGGTTTTTGTTACTAAGAGGTGAAAAAACCTCATATTCTTATTGATTACACATCTAGGTTTCATGTTACTTGCTACTATTATTAGAAAGCTAAAATACAGAAAGGTATATAAGCTACTGATATCAAGGCAGTGTATTGCTGAATCAACAGGGAAATAGCTGTGTCTATTTTTCAAGAGAGAAATATCTAAAGGGTGGACTGGTATCACAGACGAGTAAGTATGAACGCTGCAACAGTCTTAATACGCAAAGGGTGGAGCGGGAAGGCATATCTAACAAGAAATGTCAGAGGAGAAAAAGTTGAAAATGTTAGTTGTACCTTAAAGAACCCTGCTTCTGGCCCACACCTGTCATAAACATTCCTGGCTTTACCTATAGCCATGATAATACCTTGCATGTTCGGGGTCAGCATGACCTGCCACAAGGGATTTAAGGTAAAAGTTTTGAATGATTAATATTTTAATGACCAAATTCAATATGCTTTTAGTCTCATGCAAGATAAAAAACAACTTAATGCATGCATACATTGAAACGGCACATTTCAATACAGATCTGGTGTGCATATTCTGCAAATCAGACATGGCACGTGTATATATTTTTACTGTAACAACATATGATTAAAGGAAGCTTACAAAAAAAAATTGAAAAACTGTGTCAAGTACAATTTTAAAAGTTACGTGGTCAAAACTTCTCAGGAAAGGAACATGCATTGTTCAGCATTAGTATCCATCAGAAACTGCATACTGAATGAGTGCTACCCATGGCCACCAAAGGATAAAAAAAAACATATTAAAAAAAAAAAAAGTGTTTCAAATAGAAAAATCACCCAATCACACTTTATACATACTATACTAAACATAGTAAACTCCACTGCCTGTATTTTATATGTAATTCAACATCAAAATAAGGGACCCATTACTGCAAATGCAATTGGTCCCCAAAGCATTTGCAGACAAATGCTTAAAATTCAACCCCAAAACATTTAACAAACACAAAGCCAAACATAAGACACACATCTCACAGCTATTCACATCAGTTATATACAATCACTTTGATACATCTAGGTCACTCAGAAAGGCCTTTCCCCTTTGTTATCTGTAAGCAAAGAAAAAACAGTCCCTCTCTCCCTGCCCAAGGTATAGCTGGCGCAGCAACTGGCACAGCAACAACAGCTGGCCCTTAAGAACAGAAGATGAAGAACCCTAAGCTCTCCGGAAGAACTTCCCCACTTACAAAAAGAACGGGGAAACAGAGAAGAAAGTTATCACCCTCTAGAAAGACACTGGCATGAGGACTACAGTGAAAAAAAGAAAAAAAAAACCAAAAAGGTGGAGACTACACATCTGTGAGGAGCCAAACTCAGCGTGATGATGTCAATTAAATCATTTTATTCCCTACTCCATCCTCCCAGTTACAACTGATCACAATTACAGGGCAAAATGGCCTGAAATATCCCTTTGCCTAGGGAAGCAAAAGCTCCCCAAGAACACATACTCAGACACCTGAGAATACGGGCTGCACCAGCACTAACCCCAACCAAAACAAACATGGAGTAAGCAGTGTCAAGGCACAACAGTTTGATGACCTGGCAATGTTGCTTTCTGCCGCTAAAACAGGGTAGCAGAAAATAATGTCTTGGGATAACATGAAACTCATCTGTTCCTCAAGTAGTTCCAGGTACACGAACCACCCTGGGTCTGAACTGATTTTTTTTTTTTTTTTTCTTAAGCTTTGGAAGAGTCAGCTCCACCAGCTTCATCAGTTTCGGGTTACTTCCATGGATAATTTAATCCCTGAAGTCTGAAAAGCTTAACCTTGGGAAATAAGGGTTCGGACTTGAACATCAGCTTTATTGGACTGACAAGAAAGCATAAACATTAAGAAAATCACTCAGTATCCTGTTACTTTTTAACTAATGTAGTAGACTGCAGCCTGTCACCAGCATTTCAAGGCTACATGGCCTAACACAAACACTCAACTTCCACAGCTAAAAAGACAAATATACCTCCAGTGTAAATGCTACATGCAAAGCGTGCCCAATTAGAGTAGCTAGTGCTTTCCTTTCATATTTCATTACACATTAAGACATTGTTAAAGTTACAAATCGCTAAGCATTTAGTTTTGCAGAAATCTGTTAGGTGTTACAATGTGCAAACATGCCAAAAATTCTTATCAGGCAGCACAAGAAAGCACCGAGGAGGAGCGGTGCACACAATTGCAATCAAATGTACCTCATCGTCATAACCCCCCTCCTCTGACTCAATCACAAAAGTCCCTACATCAGGGATCGCCACCTCTACAACTCGCTGGTTAGGAGCTGGTTGAGCTGGGGCATTATCAGAGCTCTGCAGAAGAAAATCATTATCAGTATGTGTGTGGGGAAATAAAAAAAAAAAATCAGAATAAAAAAAAGATAAAATTACAGAGACACGCAAACTGACAGGCTGATGAAGTAAAACAATGTGCACTGCTGAAGTTCTGAAAAAAATTATAAATATCACATATTCTTTAATTACTTACAGTTTCTTAATTTTAAGCAGTCCATTTTAAAATTAAGCCATAGTTATTAAAAGGATTTCGTTAGTCCTTTATTCACTAACATCTTTACAGGTTAGTATGCCAGTATTGCAACTCTAACGTCCATTACAAATTGAAGGCAGTTGTTAAAGGATGAGTCTGTGAACTACCACTTCTTTTCATACATTCCACAAAAAAATTACTAAATATAACTGAAGTATCTGATGAACTCATCCTAATGGATGGCAACAAGCCAAAGGCTAACATTTCCTGATGCTCTGGAAAAAAATACAAAAAAGCCTCCGGCAATTATAGTGTTTGAAAGAATATTTAGAGGTGCATTATGATCAACAGGTGTATTTTTTTAGAAAAGTAATTACAAAATTAGGGGAAGATTATGTTAGGCACTGAAATTCTTGCTATGTAAAAGTAAGTTTTAAACAACAACAGAGACGAATTTCAGCTCCTACAGTCTATCATTGTATAACAGCCAGTTTACATTTGCAGAACTTAAACCTTGACTCTAATCTAAGCAATCCCAGAGTGCCATGCCACTTGTTCTGCAACTATTACAATAGTCTCATTTTTAACCAAGATTCCAGAAACACACATAGTATCTATTTACACCCAGCACTGTATAAATACAAAGGAAGACTGTGCAGAGGGTAGAAAAAAAGGACAAAAGGGCAGAAAATGGACACAAATGATCACATGGTGACTAACCTACAGTCCTGTTTGTTACATGTTCTGATGTTGGCTTTCCTTCTTTTAAAATGTACAAACAAAAAGTGGAGGAAAGGAATATATGCCTGCATGTCAGAACGCATATGGAAGTAGAAGAATTAAAAAGCATTCTGATACAGTGAGAAGGAAGCACAATTCTGCCTAAGTTAAATTTGGGTACACAGAGAGCAACTTTTAAACACTAACAGAGTACCTTCAGATTAGCTAGAAATTTGCTTTAGATTCTAACAGCTGAAATATATTTGTTTCTAAATAAGAGTTTGCATGATTTGGGGTTTTCTGTTTTTATTTTTAAAGAACCATCCACCTTGTTGCAGAACACTGCAGTGAAAATATCGGAAAAAGACGACCTGTATCTGCCTCGTTAAGCCTATCATGATGTTCCCCATGCGGTTCCTCAACCACAGTCTTGTAAAGTCCTAAGGCTGATCACTGTGCAAATTAAAACACTTGATCCCTGGAATCAAGTCTGCAAGATTCTTCCACATCCCAGCGGGATGGATGCCCACAGACCCTAGAAAGAGGACAGCATCATGGGTTTGATATCTTCACAGCTACCTCTTAAGTTGGAGGTAACTCATATTAAACAGGCTCCCCCTAAGCTTTTCTGTGTTCTGACAGCTCAAAAAAGTCAGATATGCAGTATGCTAAAGCATTAGTGGTAGAGCATCTTTTCATCAAGGGTTAGATTCGTTTGCCCATTGGCTTTGATTTCAGTGTAGCAGATAAAGCACGCTTCTCTGCTCCCCTGACACCACAGGAGAGAGGGATGGAAAACACAACAGGTGTAAGAGTCAGCAAATTGTCATGTCATTTTCAAAGGCTTTAAGAGGACTTTCCTGTTGGCCCCAAAGATATCTAGGGCTAGACTGCTTTTGTTTAACGAGTATTCATACCTGAACTTAAGAAGCACGCTTCAAATTTTGCACAAGTATAAATTGTCCATGTCTCTAGTGGTTACTAGGGGTGCCTAAGGAAGCTATACTGTACATTTCCTTATGCATGCAGTTCCAAGACAGATGCATGTATTGCTTTAAAGGCACTTGCTTTTGTGGCAAATACATTGGGTTTTTATCTATATACTTAAAAAGAAGTATAAAAAATATTTGCTGAAAGAAAAAACTGTTAAATATTAGTTCATTAATAATTCATGAAGTTCCAATTCCTCTTAATATTTGTTGTATGAAGTGAAAACAGAATCACCCAATACTAATTCTTATAACCATTTTAAGTTAACATATGCATCTGATGAATCAATGAATGTAATTTTCATCAAGTTTTGAATTTGCATTAAAGCTACAGAATACTGCTGGAAAAAACCCTTATTTTTGAACGCTACTTTAACTTCCATAGGTCTTTCAAGGGAACTCAGTTATACTGTTATCTTTCTCAGACAAAAACCTGAATGTTTAAAGCAGTATTTTTCAAGTTTTTTACATGGAATGTCAATGTTTACTCCTCAAAAATAAATGGAACCATCTAACATTTTTAAAAGATGGTGGGCACAAACACATGATTTTCACTTGAACAATATGCTGTACTCTTGACAAGTACTTCAGTCACATAGAGGACACCTATCATAGGTATTTTCTCCTACTACACCCGTTACTGTAATACACACTTTCTGGATGGACTTTAGTGTTGGACAGTCGCTGAGGAAATAGCAACTTTCAGTTCAAAGTTTCCACACACACACCCTTTTATCAGCTATTATATCATTTTCACTTTCAAAATAAAAGCAAAAGTAGTACTTCAAGCTTCAAAATATCCTCACCGTGTCCATTATAGCTTCTGGACCTCTGTCTTCTTGTTCAGCTAAAGCTTTATTGATTGCTTGTACAGAATCTTCTTTTAAGTGCTTTGAAAGATCAGTTCTTGATGGCTGCTCTAAATATTCTGGTTCTCCTGCTTGAACTTAGTAACAGAAATAAAATAACATTTTTTTGTGTTAGCATAAGCATGAATTTTGAATTGGTTAGTTTAATTTAGATGACTGTCTCATAGATAAAGTAACCCACACAGAAAATAGGTCACGCCATTCACAAACACAACTTCACACCAGTCTGTGTCTCAAGTAATTTTGAACACTTTCATATAAATGGACCCATAAGTTTATATTAGGAACAACAGACCCATCCTGTTTATAGACTTATTAAGGCTTTTGAGTGAAGGGCGCTCATCAATCATACAGCAGATGACTGAGAACAAAGATGAGTTTCTACTCGGACTTTCTGTGGGATACAGACTCAATGTATGGAATGATCTACAGCCACTTGAGTGCCAGATGTATTTTTCTTTCACAAAATAATCAATGTATTATATTCTTCTGATTCAACCGAAACCGCAAAGTTTCCCCCGCTTGAGAGCAGTAAAATTGATCAGCAATATTGACTTATATTCCTTACGTGATGAAAGCAAATATTGGCAGTCAAATAAAATATTCATTTAGCACTTTCCATTACTAACAAAAGAACTAAAACCAGTTTCAAAGTGTTTGTGAAGTCAAAACATATAGAAGATGAAGTCAGTCTCCAGAGAGTTTGCAAAAGAGAAATGTCATTAAATCACTGCACTTTTTACATTCAGTTTGTAGTCATAGATAGTTATAAGAAATATATGCTCAGTCTTAATGACTCAAAATACAACAATAAGAACATCTGGACAGCAGTCTCACTATACATATCCATCTTGTCATCTTTCACATAATGTACACACAGCCTCCTGTAATGGAGCAAAAGGTGGATGTAACCTAAAACCTCACAGGTTTTTCTGTGTCAAAGCAGTGATATGTTTTACAGTCAGATTGCCAGCGGTCTTTATTAGCTAGGCTCCTAACAGCACTGGCCTCACTGTTGCTGTTCAGAGCCTTTTCCACAGTTTTAACGCCCTCGTTTCCACATAATAATTTCTTAAGTGGGCCCTACTATTGCCAACTCTATTCAATACGTCACACCAAATAACTCTTCTCTTCAGACATAAATTCTGTCCAAATTCAAAATGAGAAGGTAGGTCTTCTACTCAATCACTCTGAATAGAAGAATATGTATCACTTATGGACTAATAAACTTTCCAAACAGACTGGTGAGACCTGTTAATTACCTGTCTTAAAAGGCCAAAGTTTCTACAGAAAAAAAAAAATTATTTAGTAAAACCTAAGCACAACTGTGAGGGGAAAGGCAGAAGAACCAACAAATCTTTTTTTCTTTAAATAAAAAATAAAATGCAAAAAAAAACCCTACAGATTAAACTTCAAGTGTAGTTACTTTGGACAAGTAAATAGTTATAGTTCAAGATCACACAAATTAACTTGTTCTTCCTTTCTTAAGCTGCAAGACAATGTATACAAAAGCCAGTGATTTTTGGTTCTACTCATTTTACAAACAGGTAGAAGAAGCTAACCTGGAGCAGGTGAGGGTGCTGGTGCCCTGGGTATCTGAGATAACAACTTCTCCTGCTGTGCTTTCTGAGCTAGTTCTGCATCCCATTCTTCGAGTTCTTTTTCAAAACGTTTATTGTCTTCCTTGACGTAATCCCTTAGATCAGAAGGTAGTGTGTCCATTCCAACAAGGGTCTGCCCCGTTTCTTTGTTAAACTCCTCTAGGGTAACATGAAATATAAATTTCAGAAAAAGAAAGAATAGAGGAAAAGAAAGTATGCTTAACAAATTTCTTGAAGTGAATTACTGGAAACGTACAGGTCAACAGCAAAACTCTAAAACTATATTACTTTTAACTGGTTTTATTATCTTTCAGGGACTCCTCTGCTACCGAGACATACTGCTACTGCTCTTGCGATATTTGGATTATATGTTCTTGGGCACCATCAGATCATTGCCATTTTGAAAGATGAGCCTTTGGGTCTATGAGGACCCTATGATTATAAACATTCCAAAAAAAAAGTCACAAAACCCCCACTTGTGGCTTGATCGTGTTACTGACACATGGAGTTGGACACAACTCCACTTCCCAGCAGAAAAGGGGAAGGAGAGCGGGCCTACAGGGATTTGTAAAGTCAATTGATAAGGACATCAGCTACACGAGGTAACTTTCTTTTTTGCTTCGAGAATGCTCCCAGCCCCCTGAGCTAGAAGACAGGGAGCAGAACGAAGCCACCATAATCCAAGGAGAAATGGCGATTGACCTGCTACAGCACTTAGGCGCACACATGTCTATGGGGCTGCATGGGATCCACCCAAGGGTACTGAGGGAGCTGGCAGAAGTGCTCACCAAGCCACTTTCCATCATTTATCAGCAGCCCTGGCTAACTGGGAAGGTCCCAGTTGAATGCCGGTTAGCAAATGTGATGCTTGTCTAAAAGAAGGGCTGGAAGGAAGATCCAGGGAACTAGAGGCCTGTCAGTCTGCCCTCAGTGCCTGGGAAGGTTGTCGTGCAGCACATGCAGGACAACCAGATGATCAGGCCTGGTCAGCATGGGTTCATGATAGGCAGGTCATGGTTGACAAACCTGATCTTTGATGATAGGCTGACCCACTTAGTGCATGAGGGAAAGGCCGTGGATGTTGTCTACCTAGACTTCAGTAAAGCCTTTGACACCGTTCCCCACATTATTCTGCTGGAAAAACTGGCTGCTCATGGCTTGGTCAGACCTATGCTTCACTGCGTGAAAAACTGGCTGGATGGCCAGGCCCAAAGAGTGGTGGTGAATGGAGGTAAATCCAGTTGCTGGTCAGTCACAAGTGGTGTTCCCCAGGGCTCGGTACTGGGGCTGGTTCTCTTTAATATCTTTATCAACAACCTGTACAAGGGGACTGAGTACACCCTCAGTAAGTTTGCAGATGACACTAAATTGGGTGGAGTGTTTATCTGCTTGAAGGTAGGAAGGCTCTACAAAGGGATCTGGACAGGTTGGATCGATGGGTGGGGCCAATGGTATGACATTCAACAAGGCCAAGTGCCAGGTCCTGCACTTGGGTCACAACAACCCCATGCAGTGCTACAGGCTTGGGGAAGAGTGGCTGGAAAGCTGCCTGGTGGAAAAGCACCTGGGGGTGTTGGTCGACAGCTGGCTGGGTATGAGCCAGCACTGTGCCCAGGTGGCCAAGAAGGCCAGTAGCATCCTGGCCTGTATCAGGAATAGTGTGGCCAGCAGGACTAAGGAAGTGATCGTCCCCCTGTACTCGGCACTGGTGAGGCCCCACCTCGAGTACTGTGTTCAGTTTTGGGCCCCTCACTACAAGAAAGACATCAAGGTGCTGGGGCATGTCCAGAGAAGGGTAACAAAGCTGGTGAAGGATCTAGAGAAAAAGTCTTACAAGACATGGCTGAGGGAACTGGGGTTGTTTAGCCTGGAGAAAAGAAGGCTGAGGGGAGACCTTATCACTCTCTACAACCACCTGAAAGGAGGTTGTAGAGAGGTGGGAGTTGGTCTCTTCTCCCAAGTAACAAGCGACAGGATGAGAGGAAACAGCCTCAAGTTGTACCAGGTTTAGGGTGGATATTGGGAAAAATTTCTTCACTGAAAGTGTTATCAAGCATTGGAACAGGCTGCCCAGGGAAGTGGTGGAGTTGCCATCCCTGGGGGGATTTAAAAGACAGGTAGACGTGGTGCTTAGGGACATGATTTAGCAGTGTTTTTGGCAGTGCTAGGTTAATGGTTGGACTATGATCTTAACCTTAACCTTAACCCTTTTAACCTAGACAATTCTAGGATTCTAATGATCTCTGCAAGAGTATCCTAGGTCCTGGGGAATCAATCAGCTGTAGTTGTCCCCCAGCAAGCAGGCCTCAGACTTAATTAGAGTGGCACAGCCACCCTACAGAGTCCATAAACCCTATGGTTATAAGTCCACTACCAATCCGGCAATCTAGAAACGTCAAGGTGAATTCTGGTTCTTATTTAAAACCTGAACAAATGCACACTCTAGCTTTCTGCCCTATGAAAAGACAGGAACATGAAATTTTTCCACCACTTGTTATTGATTCCCCGGACATTTTAAGTCAGCTCCCCAGCAACCATTATCAGACCCCACAACAGTCATGCTAAGGGATCTCTGCCCTCTCTCCAAACACTTTGGAAAAAGCCTGATAGTTACATACCACTACTTGACTTGAAAATAATTTTCCCAATCCATGTATTAGTTTGGTTTAATGTGGGTGGTAGGGCTAAATTATTCACATTTCAATATACTGCATAAAGCTTCAAGTTTCCATGCTCCAGTAAAGTTCAGAGTTCTGAAGCTTATGAAAAAAAGCTACAGAGGGATTTTTGTGTCAAGAGGGTCATTTCTTTATTTTCATATTTCTGTTCTAATCTTCAGTGAGATACCTCCAAAATTCTGAACAGGTGATCACCTGGCTAAAATGTTTACAATTCAGCCAACTTAGTTTATTTTGCTCTGTTAATAATGCTGAAACAATGGTTTTCTTCATTAATCTAAAAGTTGAAGAGCAATTGTTCCACCCACAAAAACAACCTGACTAATGATTATGAGCATAAATAGAACTTCCAATACTTATTAAAATAATTTTAAAAATCTGGAAATCCATCTGAAAGAAGCTCACTTTATCAATAAATTCCGCTATTCTGTATCATGCAGAAAACATATCCATAACATTACCTTGTATCAAGTATTGTTCCTTATCATTGATATACATTAAACAATATGCGCTGGCACTCCTGTAACTAGGTTGATTCCTGTAACCACCAAAAGAGTCCCGTTCCAACTCTTCCCACGTTGACTTTGTCACAGAAATATCATTGTATTTCATCCATCTGTTCTGGTGGTGGTCATAAATATATGCCCAGTAGTGTCCCGCATTAGCTTGACCTTCATGAACTAGCACAGCATGCAACCTATAAGGAACCTTAAAGAAAAAGAAAACCACAAAAAACAAGTAACGCAAAATGTCAAACTCTCCTTACCAGCATTTAGTTCCTACTACTGGCCAGCAACAATAGCTACATTAAATAGAAGTAACAAAAACAAAGTTAAGCAGGATCAAAACATGACACAGGAAAAACAGAAATAAAACTAGAAACCCACTAAGCAAAAGGACTTTGAACTATTTTACTTACCCCTACCAGTTACAAGACATCTTAAAAACATTAGTGAGTCTATAGCACTAATGTCTACTCTGCTGCCTTTACTGCCAGGCATTCCCTTTTCTTAATTCCTTAATATGCCTACTTTCCTCGGATCTACAAAAAAAAACAACCCTCAAATGCATCAGCCTTGAGTACTGAGTATTCCCTTGCTCCAGTTCTGACCTGGTAAACTTTTCCTGAAGTCTGGAAAGGCATAGGCAAATTCAAGGTAATCAACTCTGTGCTTTCTATGTGCCAGTAAAAGAGTTTATTTAAAGAAATATCTGGGAGTTGAATACTTCCTTAAAAAAAATCTTGTAAAATCCTTACAGTAGAATAGGAACACAACTTTTCCCAGTACTTTAAATGTATCAGCAAAAGCAGTACTAAGAGAAAGATTGAACACATGAAGAGGTCCTCTCCTCCTCCTAAGGCAAAGAAGGAAGAGATCAGTTTTTAGGATCAATATAAAAAGTATCCCAGGTTACATGTGTTCATTGACAAGTAAGAAGAATGGTGAACTTAATTTCTATGTAACTAGTTGGAAATCTGAAGGAAAGAGAAGCAGAATGAGCGCTTCCTTACTTATAAGTCTTTTAAAAGCATCTTAGTGATTGGCTTGTTTTCACCCGCTGAAACAGCACACGCAACATAAAAGGGAAAACTGATCTTCCCTGCTATGCACAGCATGCCTGAATGACAGCAGCTTAGCTAGGATAAAGAACTGAAACGATCTTTTACTGGTGTCACAGTCTGGACTGCAGATAAACGGTCTATTTAACATAAGGTGTACTAAATATCTGTTGCAAATATAATTTGAGCACGACAATAATTAGTAACCATAAATACATACGTAACTATGACTTGAGAAACTCCTGAAGTCAATTTTAACCTGATCATTCTCTTCCAGGTTACATGCAAGTGCTGGAGATTTTGCAACCCCCCCCTTGAACTATAAAGCTGGCTGACTGCACAGCAGCTGGAATCAAACAGACTGTCATCCCAGAGAACAAACCGTACTGTAAGTCTCCCGAACACACATATACACAGCAGAAATCCTAGCAAGTCCTTAAATATGAATGGTCTGGGGTTTTTAACATCTGTTATCAAACCAGTGTGAAAGCCTTCTTAAAATGATTGCAAGTCCATGCAAATGCACATAAATATATGCAAATCCTGATTTAAAAAAAAAAAAAAAAAGGTAAGTGATGTCTCTTTAGACTTTGACAATAAAATTTCCTCCCCCTAAAACAGGGCATTAAAATCTCAGCTGGATTTAAATCATTTTACTTAAGACCATGCTAACTGGGTCAGCTTGAGGGCCCCTACCCTTTGCTCCAGCTCTGGAGGACCAGTAGTCAGTCATCCATGCTGAGCTTCCAGGAAGATTCCCCACAGAGGTCTGTGACTGGACGACAGGCGAGTTCACTGTCAACAGGCATCTCTTGCAATAAGCCATTACATCAACAGCAATTAACGGTACAGGGCAACACAACAAGCAAATATTTGGAATTAAGCTGCTCAGCTTACACTTACTACTGAAACAGAAACGGAGCTTCACCACCCTCGTCACATGTAGCTACAGAACAGATATATCAAAGCTGATATATCAAAGATGAATTCCCACAGGAAAAAAAGGGGTGTCTCATTTCCTCACAGCAAGTTCACACAGGGAGGGAAATACTCAAATAAGCAGCTGATGAGATCCATTCAGGAGGATGAGATGAAACAACAAATTCAGGAATATATATCATGTGACAATTTGACAAGGGTTTTATGGACAACTGTAGTTCCCTCAGAATCAAAGCAGACGCAAGAATAAGATTAACAAATTCTTAAATAATTCATATAAAGACTAGGAAGCATCCTGCAATATAATGCATTTTCATTGAAAAAAATAGTATCTAGTTTTATGTGCCCAGACCTTTACCAACTCACAGAAGAAAAGCTTACAGTCCTACAATGGCATCATTCAGAGGAAAAGATCAATACTGTGAAACTGCTCCCAGAGAATGGGGCTATCCAGTCGCCCAGATACAGACATAGGCAGGGGAAAAGTAGACACTATATGTACCTGCCTCCTTCCCATTGTGCCAAAACACCCACAGGGACAAAACTAGCTGAGCTGCAGAAGGGCAGCCTGTGATTTCAGATGGGTTCAGTAGTTGTTCCCTAACAACGACTTAACACACACCACTACATTCAGGCATGGCACAGGAACCCCCTCTACAAATCTATATACCATCTTCATCCTCCTCTGTTTTTGGAATTCTGTTTCAAAACAAAAACAAACAAAAACTCTACTCTACATTATGCAAATCTGTACTAGGACAAAGTGGTTTACTAAGTAATCTCCTTTTTCCATTGTAATGATTGCTGACTTCCTCCAACAACACATACACCAACAAAAGGTAAGCTATTTGGATGTGAGATCACCAAATTACTTCATTTTACTGTTAGATGACATGTAGCCTGTAGCCTTCCTGTTATAACACAAGCATTAAGGAAAAAAATGCCTGCCAGTACAAGCTTAAAGAAAGCCATCTAGGCAAGTCTGCCTGAAATCCTTAACATCAGAGTTCAGCTGCCAGGAACTATTACAAGCCATGTACAAAATGAAAACATACCTCAAGGAAAACTATAAGCTAAACAGATCTTACTTGGAAGGAAAATAGTTCTTTTTCCTAACAGAAAGTAACAGAGGAAGTAATCATTAACCTTAAAAGCTGTCAAAGTGAGCAAACATAAGTATGTGAACATAACAAATACCATGGAAGCCATGACTCCATGGTAAAGCATTCTAAAAATGCTGTTCAGATTACAGATCATGAGAATCTCCCTAAAAGGCAGCTTATACTAATAGTCAAGGTTGTGACTGAAACTAAATCTAGACAGAGCTTTAAAAAGGTCAACAAAAACAAAACAAAAACAAAAAACCCCACTGACATTATTAACTATAAATTAAAATCAGAAGCCTTGAATACTTTAGTATTAGTATGGAAATTGCAATACACAATTGCAATAAGCATTGACGTATAAAAATAATAGTTTTTTGTGTCTGATGTTTTGCCACCTTAAAGCCTTAAGGCTACCTAGCAATATGGTCAAATCAGGGTTAGAAAAATGTATTGTGTTATATGAAAACTGCATTCAATTCAAAAAAGCAGATCAGAGATAGAACATATTTGGGCTTTTCATCACACAGTTGCTTAAACTTAAGTATGTCATATGTTATACCTGTTTTACGTCACCTGTAAAATATTGTAACGCTGTATTTCATCTGACATTGCATAATTAAAAGGTTTGCAAAACCCATTAAGACTTTCCAGTGAAATTTCTCAAACCATTATATGTAATCGTTGTATACTTGCTCTATTTTCAAGCATCTAAGAACTTTTTTTGAAGTGACAAAAAGGATCTATTTTGAATTATCTCACGCAGAAATTGTACTTACTTGGACCATTGTTTTGTCAGAGTACATCATTTCAATTGTCCGATGTATTCTAGATATACTTTCTTGTAAGTCTAAAAGAAAAATAGAAAAAAGAAGCTCTCTTCCATGAGGCTGCATAATTGCACATGGCTACATCTTTATTTTTTCTCATTAAAGGCTCAAACAAGGGTACATTTCACATTTGGTGCATCTGTTCATCTATCTACATGCCAAATACTAAACCTTCTCAGATGATAAAAGCAGAGAGAGCGATTCGTGACACACCACTGCTCATTTCCTAGAGCTCAACCTAGCCCACCCCTACTGGAACAACCACTTCCCTTGTTTCCCTCAGAGCAACAGAACAGACTGTAAGCTCTACCCACTCCAAAAAGCCTTTGCTCAGAAATTTGCTGAATTTTCCCTCATAGAAGGGACTGCTCTACCCTAACTCCCCCACAGAGCAGCCACTATCACACTGACAGCTCAAGCACATCCACAGGGACATTCTTTGGTGTGGATCCCACCTCTGTTTCACTCTACTCCCCCCAACACCATGCACACAGAAACCCGCATTGAAACATTTGTGTACGCCACGCTCAACGCCCAGTTTGCATCTTCAGTTTATATACCTCTGGTCTACTACAATCTCTAAGTGACTTCCCTTCCTATGTGCTGGAGATAAGTTTGGAAGTATGAAACAAACAACTCCGCACGCACGCAGACATTAAGGCCTTTTCCCCCACTTCCAGAAAACCTTTCCAAGAGCAAATGCATTTCCCAGCTTGTGGCATTACCTCTAGTGTCGTTCTCTACTTCAGTCCTCCAGCGATGTAAACAGCCTTCTAGGACAGACAGCTCTTCCTCGGTGATGTGCCTTGGTGCCGGATGCATCGGCAGATCAGGAGGAATTCGTGATTGTGTGAATGGTTTATGTATTACTGATCTTTGTACAGGAGATGTGCTTGGAACATCTGAAGATGAAGGTCCCTGCTGCTCTATTGTGCTGCATTCATTCAAAACATGAAATACAAAAATTGAATCATCACATATACAAAGTAAAAGCTATACCATAAAAATAAGCTTTTCATCTGAAAACAGAAATTTTAAAGGTAATAATTTCCTACAATGCAATCCAGGAAAGACACCTACAGTGTCAATATGGAATTACTATGTAAATTCTGAAAACTTTGTGGTGTACTACAAATTAGCACAATAACAACTCTGTCTGCCATTACCAAAAGACAACACAATCGGAATTGGATCAGTCAAGCCACAGTTTGCTTTACTCAAAATGCTATTCAACCCTTTCAAATAATGTGATACAAGTTATCACTGTGGTTTGAAACATTTACTGCCAAACTGCAGAGAGAAAAATCACAGTAGCTTGTCTTATGCCCTATTGACCATAAAATCCAATAAATACAAGTTCTCCAGTTAATAAGTTCTTCACATGTCTTATGCTTAGTAGACTTTCTTTTTCCAGTTGCCTACCTAGAACTTATGTTAACTGAACAGCAACAATGAAGGGATCACTGATATTTACGGTACACTAGAAATTTAGCACCAAACCATCTAAACTTGTTCCAAATATGTCTTGTAACTCAAACAGCAAAGCGGCCAGTTTAGGAGAATTCTACAAGAGCAGCAGAATATTAAATATTAACATGTGTTACAGATTTTTCTCTTCCCATAAACAAGACCACCCTATATGTAATCATATGCATAACAGAAATCTGAAGGTCTTTCTAGCAAGCCTCTGACATTTTACTTTGTGCATGGCATCATGAAACAGCCTGGGGAACTGGGCTTCTTCAGTAGTTTAGAAAGTTCTGAGAACAGTAAGAGCTGACCATGTCATTCTACGCAACATGTCATTTTGTTTCTACAGATTAACAAAAAAAAGTCGTAACACTTACATTTTGACAGAACAAACTTCCTATATAAGATTTTGAACAAAGTATATTACTTTTGATATTGTATTTCATGCAAGCAATGGTAGCTTTTAGAAGTTTGTCTTATCAATCATCAGTAAGATGACATTATATCAGTATGACATCTGAAATCTTTTAAAGGCTTTTTAGAGTCATTTACTTCACTTCTTTGAAGTACAGAGTTAACCATCTTGACTGTCCCAGAACCTAGAACCCTACTCTCTGAATGCAATATAAAAAAATGGTCTGTAATAAGCTGTTAGTGTCTACCTAGCCAAGTCCTATCCTAAGTTATACTCCATTAAGTGTTACATAGTCACTAGCTTCAATATAGAGAAAACATTATTGGACCTTTATCTCCCTGATACTTTGGCGAGTCTGTATTTAAAAGTCAGACTGTTAGGTTCCTGACAAACTCGGTGAGAAGTGTAAGCTGCAAAGCAGAATAGGAGCCTAATTCCTAGGTAAAAATTAACAGATAAATCGTACACTGGGAACCTTGAAGCTCTGCAGCACATACGTAGAATCATAGAATGGTTTAGGTTGGAATGGACCTTAAAGATCACCTAGTTCCAACCCCTCTGCCATGGGCAGGGACACTTTCCACTAGACCAGGTTGCTCAAAGCCCCATCCAACCTGGTCTTGAACACTTCCAGGGATGGTGCTGCCCAAATTCAGATTCTTAAACAATACACTCAGGAAGCACTGACCCCACCAGACATTGTGCCTATGTGGAACTGTAGGTGGAATCGTGCTTTGTTTGAAAATGGTAATTTTCCACCTAAAGACATTTTTATAAGCGCATAAGACAACCCCAGATTATTAACATTTTGGTTTATTTATTTAAGTCTGTCGTGTTGAAAAATACTTCTAGGAAGACAACAGAAACTTTATGCTATACCCCTTCGGAGATGCCCAGTTGTATTAATCTGGTAAACAAAGCAGTTAAACTTCCAACTGGGCATGACCGGCCTCTCACCTTGGAAGAGCAGGAGGCAGCCCTTACCTGGGTGAGGTCTGGGCCGGCAGTGTGCCACTGGCAGGGGCACTAGCACCCAGGTCATCGACAGGAGACGTGCACACCGGCTTGCTGGAGGCGAACTCCAAGGCATACTGCAGGACATCTACCAAGGGGAATCGTTTAGGACCAGAACCATAGCTTAAATATCTGTTAACCACAAAACGTATTAATGCCATGACTCTCATATACAAAAAAAAAAAAGAAAAGAAAAAGGAAAAAAAAGGAGGGGGGGAAGATTTTTTTCTGGTTGACTGCAATTAAATAAAGCAAGCCTTTCCTAGCACGTTTCATGCACCAGAACTACCGCGCTTATACCCAGTTTCCAAGGAAAATGGTAAAAGAGAAGAGATACAGCAGGGAAATTTAGAGCAAATAACTACACACAAAGTACACAGTTGAAAGGAGTTATTCTATGTAGCCCATAATATTATTTGCATTCACACTGGGAAGTTATCTATTGTACCGTTCTAATCTCTGCTGTAAAACCGTGAGGTACTCTTTGAGTCTCTTGATTTCATCCCGTTTAATTCTTGTTATTTCTCTGTTTTTGTGCATATACCTGTAAAACATGAAAATTAGAGAGAGATGTCAGCCCATCATATTCCAACACTGAAACTGAGGTCTGTACCCATCAGCCATGCTATTTAGTATTAATAAAAACTAACCCTCTTTAGAACCTTTTTTACCTACAACACGTTAAGCAGTAGAACAGAACTGAGAAGAAAACAGTAACCCCTTCAAGCCTCCCTTTCCACAACTTTCAGAAAATGCTTTATCCCCAGTGTCAAAAGCTCCGTTCATACCATTGACATGTTGTATAAAAGTATGTAAACACGTAGTAGAAAGCTTCTAAATTAAGTGGTTTAAGTAGCAACCACGTAGCAATACTCTTGTTTCACTGTTTAGGCTCACAAATAACATTCAGCATCTATCTGAAAGCCGAGTATTTCACTTCTACATATGAAAAGCATGCACTGATGTTGAGAGTCCTTTTCAATCCATGCAGTCTACCTGGAACACCATGAAATATCTGACTACTCACCCTCTTTCCCAAATGGACTCAAACACTGATTTTTCAGACTATTTTGCCTGTGTATACAACTACCTAGCAATAAATTAAAGACTGACATATACGCAGGTTTTGGCACAAAGTAGCAGTAGGTCTTAAATTGTTATCTATGTGAATTTTCTGAAACAGATGAAACCCATGAAAATTATAACTTGTCCAGCTAGAACAGAAATTTACTGTGATTTAAGCGAGTACAAGATGCACCAGCAACTTTACCAAACTCATGAGATTTAATTCATATTCATACTAGGACTTCGTTGATAATATTATACTGTACCTGTCCAGATACAAAATTGGAGGAAACTCTAATTTGTTGTGTATCTTCTCTGGTCTCCCCAAAGCCTGATTAAACTCAAATCTTGATAGCTCAAAAGTTAAGACAGGAGGAAGCTCAGTGAACCAGTGCTGAACGAAAGAAAAACAGAAAACCCCACAATGAATGCCTTCCAATAGCAGAACTTTAGTAATAATGTTACAATACCGGCAGACTGACAGCTATGGGAGAAACTGGTTTTAGAGGGTGGATCAGCATAAGCTTTCCAAAGTTCACATCTTTCACCTTCACTATAAACACAGACCATTTGTCACTCATGCTGCACCAGAGCTTTTCAACTCATCTATCGCTATCTGCATTAAAGCAGAGGAGGGAG